ACTGGCATTCTAGGCAGGAGCTTGGCAACATCGTCCAGGCAAGGGATTGAAATCGTGCAGTACTCAAAGCATCTACTGGAAGACCGCGAGGAGTCTGCATTTCAGTCATCCCGCAAGACTTGCTTCAGCTTGTGCTTGCATCTCCCTCGCAGAAAGTGGTCGAAACTGGCTTCAATCAGAAGTACTACGTAGCCACCTCCTCGGTTGTCCGTCGAAGCTGGGTGACCTTCGCTGCGGCACCTTACTTCGTCTGGACACGCAGACTGGACTCATCTGGTGCGCCTTGTATCTTTGCTGTTTCCGCATAGAAGCAGTGATGCCAAGGATAGCGACGGCAACCTGAGACAGCGCCTCGTACAGCTTTCTTCGCAGGGTCAGCTCGCAGGCCAGTTCTTCAGAGTTAGGGGCTCCGGCCGTGACTTAACCTAGAGTGAGGGCTATTGCTCATGCCTGACCTTGCTGCGAGGTGCTCAGTCTCTGACCCCGGCACTTTTGGCGCCTTGCTTGCTTTTGGGGGGCCCCATGTCGACTTGGTTTGCCTACTTTGCGTGAGGATACCTTCGAGCAGTTTCAGTGAGTAAGAGAGCGAGAGCTGGGTGGAGCTAGTTCCAGACGGAAGAGAAGCATGAGAAGTTGGCAGAAGCTGGATCTGGCTATCCCAAACCGCGAGTGGTCGCAAGTCCCTGCCGAGGTTCTGGTTGTGGTGCTGCTGCTCCTAGTGCTCGTGGCAGTCAAGAGCCGACGGGCCTTTGCAGCCGCGGCCTCGAATGGGCTCTCCGAGTCTCATGGTCCTGACCGCTGGTCGTGACAGCAGCATCTCTTCTGAGGGATGGAAAGAGCACCTCTGCCAGATGGAATGTACGGAGGCACAGGGAACCAGAGGCTTCCAAGCCCTTTCCTTCCCGTGCTAAGCTCTCCCGACCTGCAGTCCGGCGTGACGGACAAGATGATCCCCCATGACCTGGATTTGGAGGACGCCACCCTGCGGGGGCTCAAGGAACTTGGAAGTGGCTTGTCTCGGGACAGAATCGCTTGGAAGCTCATAAGCCGATGGCGGGTATGGTCCGTGGATAAAATATGCGGCAGGCGAATGACCAGGAGATCAAGCCCATCCTGGACGAGGCTTCTGCAACGCTATCTGGGCGTCTAACGGGTGTGATGAAATCCTTGTGGCATTTCGGGCACAGACAGACTAACCGCGGTTGATGTTTTTGCCGGTTCTCTCCTATCTTCAACTTGGAGTCGAGTGGCCGGCACAGCAAGCATTCGTCAGGGGGAACTAACAGATCCATCATCCCACAGGATGTCGATGCACCCGTAAAGAGAAGCACTTTCTGATTGGCTAGACGTTTCTCAGATTTTCGCAAGGTATACATGTAGTTCGTGCAGATGAAAATCAGAACATCTAATCATCTAATCCTGTGGATCTTTTGCCAACTTCGGCTTTAAGTAGCAGGGATCTGCATCAAAAGGGACAGGTCTTTGACGATGATGGCTTATGCGCACCAAGTTTCCAGGAATTGAGCCAGTTTGTTCTGACGGCTCACCCAACAATGCTAGCCAGACGAGACAAGAGTCATAAGAGACAGCGAATTAGGTGGCATGGGTACCGGCAACACTAGTAAGGCTCGCGCCAACAGAACTACTGGCCCTCATGACAACAGTAGCAACAACAGTAGTGACTGTAGCAATGGTAGTGACGGTGATGACCAACTGCTATCGACTGCACTAGTTTTTCTAGATAACACCGCTGCATAAAGAATAGACCAACCTCTGGTAGTTCTTGTCATCAACGAACCTCGTACTACTGCGTGAAGTCGAGCAAGCGTCACAGTATCAGTAGCACGGGTAATTTTGAACGCTTCGCGTCGTCCACCTCGGCCCGGCTGTGAGAAGAAAGCAAGCAAAAATCTAAGGAAATCAAGAAGAATCGCAGAAAAAGCGGTGGAGGGCGGGAGTGCCGGAGGGAGGGGATAAGGAGGGGAGCGGGGCAGGCGCAGAAGGAGTGCGGGCACACGCCCGTGCCGAACTGGCTGGAGCTGCCTTGCCGAAGAAATTTCGCAGAACCTTCAGGCGCAGCCTCGGATGGCCCCCCTGCAAGTCTTCTGCATAAAAGCGCGAGCAGGGGGGAAGGAAGGGGGAGGGGATGGGCCGAGAAGGTGGGGGAAAGGGAAGGGGGGAGGAGGGGAAAAAGTAAGCGAAACTGCCCTACAGCGTGCCCAAATCCATTGCAGGAAAAAAATTTCAACGTGGGACCTTGATGCTCATCCAGAGGTTCACACAGAGGAGGCTTCGGCCGGGGCTGAGGCGAATGATGTTATATATGTGAAAACACATGTGCAGACCTCTTGTGACATGATGCCGAGGGCTTGTGTCATGAACGCTGGGTGTGCACCCGACTCGCTGGCTCAAGCGACAAAAGGGTGCGTGAGTGCCTCAGATTGCGCGCCAGTGCGGGTTAGCTTCCGCACTGGTAGCGGAGCATTTTGCTCCGGGACCTTTTGCATGTCAGGGTCGGTGCTGGATGGGCTGCACTATGGCAGCTTCCTCCGGCAGGACGACCACGCGAGCGCCTTCGGCATGCAGACCGAGGGCAAGACCGGGGTTCCACGCTATGATGGGGAGCCCAGCAAGTTCAACGAGTACCGCTTTCGTGTGGAAGCTCGGCAGCGCAAGGAGAAAGCCTTACCGGAAGATGAACTCAAGAAGCTCGGCCATCTCGGGCTTCGATTGTTGGACGGCTTGTCGGGACACGCCCTCCAGCTGGTGCAGCTGATGGAGATGGACAAGATCGACAGCAAGGACGGCGCCGACTACCTCCTCAAGCAGTTCCAAGAGAAGCTACGACCGAGAAGGCAGCAGCAAGCCAGAGAGCTCTACGAGGCCGGGGCAAGAGTTGGAGGCTACCTCTCCCGGCACCCTCAGGAGCCTATGGTGGAGTACATCTTACGCCGCCGAGCATGGTACCAGCAACTTTGTGACCTAAGCAGCGACCTCAAGCTCCCCGACCTTATCCTCGCGGAACAGCTCCTTGACAACAGCAACATCAGCGAGGACCACAAGTTGCTCGTGAGGGTGACGCTCCAGCAGAAGCTCACCTTTGACGGCGTCGCCGAGGAGCTTGTGAACCAGCACGGGAAGATCCGCGAGCGCTTCTCCGGAGGAGCCCCTCCGAGGAGGAGCTTCGGGGACCAACGGGGAACCTGGAGATCTCAGTGGACAGCCAGCAACGGCAAGGGCAGCCCACAGAAAGGGAAGCGACACTATGCCTTCTTCGGGGCAGCCGACCATGAGACCGACCACCGGGACTACGACTATGACGGCGACTACCAGGACCCCCCGGACGCTTACGGTTACATGACCCAGGACACCTTTGCCGAGGACGAGTATGACATCGACTTCGACGCCGGGTGCTTTGCGGAAGAGCACCTCGCCTACCTCCTGGACCAAGGCCTCAACGATGAAGACCACGAAGCCGGAGAGTACGCGGCCGATGTGATACAGGCCGAGGAGGAGGCGTTCTGGAGCCGGAAGGGTGCGAGCGAGAAGGGGCATGCCTCGATGAAGCCCCGCCTTTCGAGATCAGCGGCACCTTTTCCATGGACCAAAAGAAGGCGAGACTCCTCCAGCTTAAGGCTCGCACTACGTGCCGCCATTGCGGCAATGTGGGCCACTGGTCGGGCGACGCACAGTGCCCTGGGCTGGTCGCGGCAAGGGTTTCGGACGTGGAAACCCACACGCCGGACGCGGCCAAGGCAAGGACAAGCCCCGGACGGTCTACTTTTCCATAAGGGAGGCCGGCACCGAGAACCCCGAGACTTACCTTGCGTTCCGGACACCCGACCAAGGACAGAGAAACTACCGCCAGGTGCCGCCACCGACTTCTTTGACGACGCCCTCGACAGCAACTGCGGCGGCACCCCTTCCGAACAACCTGGTCGACCTCACCGATGACGACCCGTACCAGGAGGACCGCCTCTACATGAACCCGCCGGCGGCGACTTACGAGGATCACTGCGAGAACCACGGCGTCAACGAGACGGCCCTCACCACCAGCACCTGGGAGCTTGTTCCACAAGTGCTCTCAGCAAGCGCCGCCCAGGACGCCCCGGATGTCGATATAGATGTGCTCCTGGACGCCCTTGGGGGAGGACGAGACGATGGCACGCAACGGCCACCACGTGAACTTCAAGACCGACCTCCTCCAGCTGCCGCCGGCCCACGACCACGAGCTCTACTACCTGAGGTGCCTCCTCTACCTGTTCCTGTGGGAGGCGGCTTCCACACCCTCACCAGGAACAGCCAGTACTCGGCCCACGTGCTCCCACGCCAAGACCACAACAGTTGGAAGCAACCAGCACTACTTCATCCGCAAGTGTGTGGCGTGCGGTGAGGTACTTGAACGCACCAAGCGTGCCCCAACGACAACCACGAGCCCTACGACACCAAAGGCGACGGCGTCTTCGGCACCGGCGTGTTCCCACAACCGTGTGCACTGGAAGGGCTCCAATGGCTATGTGAAGGTCAGGACCTGTATGGACTGCGGCTTCCGAGAGACCTTTCCGAACCACAGCGACGGCCGGGGCACCCCGAACGACTCCGACCACGGCGCCGCGAGAGGATCACCTTCTCCTTCTGCTCCTCCACCGGTGCTTGGTGGGACCCTTAGCCCGCAGGAGGTGCAGCAGATCGTTGGCACCTTTTCCGAGGCAGTGCAACGGCGACTTGCCCAAGGCGGAGAACAGGAGATCCCGGCAGAGCGGCTGTTGCAGGCGCTGCGGCTCACCATAGAGCAGGTCACTCTGTGGCAACACGGCGGCACTACCTCCTCGCCTGGGCCTACGCGATCTCCGACGGCACCGCCTCCTACAAGGATCGAGTTGCTCAGGCAGCGCGGCGCCAGCTCCACGGCCGAAGCCGGGAAGTACAAAGGGAGATCCTACTGGGCGGCATTCGATGACAAGAACTATCGCGACTGGTGTTTTGAGTACATCAACGACCAGAGCCACCCGGCCATGAAAAGGATGGTGCACTTCTTTCGGGAGTATGCCGCGGCGATCTCCGGCCCACAGTTACATGGCGACCTCCGAGGGAGACGGCAGCCACAGCGACGACGGCCAGCACCAGGACCACGGGCGCTCCTTGGAGAACGACCTGGTGGCAATCCTGGACACCGGCTGCAGCCAGACCTGTTACGGGGAGCGCTGGCTCGAGCGCTACGCTGCCGCGGCCCTATACAGCCACTGCCACCACTTGACGTCGAGAGCCGGCCGACCTTTCGCGGCATTGGCGGCTCCATGCGGACGGCCGGGACACGCCATCTGGAGTTGTGTTTGGAGCTCCTTGGGGGAGGGGTCGCGCGAGGAGACTTGACCTCAACCGAATATCGATTCTGAGGCGCCCCTTCTTCTATCGCTCCGAGCACAGCAAGTGCTTGGGCTTGTGCTCGACCTGAACGCCGAGGTAGCCCATTCACAGCTTCTTGGCAAAGATCTCAAGCTCGTGATTAAAGATGGCCTCATGGGGCTCCGCCTCCTCCCGGCCGACCTTGCCGACAACGACCCGGTCGAGATTTACGGCGCACCAGATGGAGAAAATGGAGGCGACGGACCGGACCGGGACTCTGGCGACCGCCGCCCGGACCACGGCGACACCGAGCACGACAGCGACCTGGACTCCGAGAACGAAGGCGACACCGCGAACGACAACCACCACGACCGCGAAGGGGAAGCTAACGACGAGATCCTTGACGAAGGGGGCGCCTACCTCGCCATCGACGCCCTCAAGTGCAAGGTCATGTCGAAGGGCACCGCGGCAAAGGTCAACCGAGACGTGCAGGATGTTGCTGCCACGGACCGTGTGCTCTGGAACCGGGTCTCTCGACAGAGGTGCCGCTGGCACAGTGTGCTCCCACGCGGCTGCCGGACTTTTCTCCTGGAGCTCTTTGCCAGAGCGGCTGTGCTGACCCACGCCGCTTCCTGTGACTACGGTCTTCCTGTCAGCTCTCCTATCAACTTGGTCGCCGACGCCGGGCACGACATTTTCACCAAGCTCGGGCGAGAGGCGCTGGAGAAGGTGATCGACCGCGACGACCCCTACGCGATCACCTGCACATGGCCCTCCGACACACAGCTGGAGCAGGCGGAGGAGCGCGGGAAGTTCGTACCGGTTATGGCCTGGATGCAAGACCTCGCCAAGGCCCGGCTGGCAAAGGGGAGGCAAGTCCTTTTGGAGCATCCCTGGGGGGATCTGCTACAGATGCTTCCAACGCCGGCACCGGGGAACCGCTTGAGAAGATCTACCTGGACGTGCCGACCGACACCCGCCGGAACCCTGGAGACAGCCCTGGGAGGACACACCGAACAGCCGTGTACCTTACAGCGACCGCCTCTCTGAAAGAAGCCGCCGGCAACCGCAGCCACCAAGGAGACTGCCCGCGCCATGTCATTGACTACTTCTTGGAGACCCTTGACAACGTCCGTGTGGAGACCGCCTTTCCCGCCGAAGCCGAGAGCGAAGACCTCCTGGTCGATGAGGACCTCCCACACCACGGGCTCCTCGATGGTATCCTTTCTGAGGGCGACCTGGCCGGGGGCGACCGCGGCGGGATTGAGGCCTACAGCGAGGTCCGCCGAGGAGAGATGCTCGACGTGATCGCCGAGGAAGGGGACAACATTCCCTTTGCATCTGAGGAGGCAGAGTTCCTGGCGGAGCAAAGGAACGAATGGAGGCGACTGCCGCGAGCCCAGCGCATCGCTTTGCGACGGCTCCACACCATGACTGGACACAGCAGCCCAGCAGCGATGCAGAGGCTACTCCGGACTGCAAACGCCGACCCTCAGGCGATCAAGGCCCTCAACCACTTCCACTGCCCTGCCTGCGCCAGCACCGAACGGCCCAAGCAACCGCGGGTGGTAAAGATTCCCCACGACTACAGCTTCAATAAGGACGTCTCGGTGGACGTTTTCTACGTGAAGGACACCCGCGGCGTGAAGTACAAGTACCTCTCGGCCGTCGACAACGGGACGCTTTTCCATGCGGCTTGGCTTGTGGGGCAAGGCTCTTGACCACCCTCCTCAGCGACGTGCGCCGCAAAGTTCCAAGACGGCTGGATATCATGGGCCGGGCCACCAGAAGCAATCTCCCTTGACCGCGGCACCGAGAACCGGGGCAAGTTTCAGTCGATGATCAAGAGCCACGGCACTCTTCTTCGCTATGTCGGGCTGGAGTCGCCGTTCCAACTTGGACGTGGAGAACGGCAAGGGGCCATTCTGAAGGACATCATGAAGAGAGTCGTGGCCTCCCGACAGCTGTCAGGTGATGACTCAATGGAGCTACTGCACCACGCCGGGTTTACCCCGTCTCAGTGGGTTCTAGGCCGGCTTCCCAAGGAGATTGACGCCCTGACCAGTGCGGAGTCTGACCGCTACCTCGGGCAACACCAGGAGATCCTCGACGGGGAGAGCACCTTTGTCCTTGCGGGCGGCAGCTCGAGAAGCTTTTGCCCAGACCGACTCCTCCGACCGAGTCCGGCGTCCCGATGCATGGGCCATTTGTGCAAGGGGACCTGGTGTGCTTCTACCGGCGAGCTGGACGTGGACCTCACAAGTGGCGCGGCCCGGCGGGTCATTGGACAAGAGGGGCGCTCCACCCTCTGGGTGGTCCACGGCGGGATGCCCATGACAATCGCAATGGAAAGCTGCCGGCGTGCCACTGGATCGGAAGCCTATGCGAAGAGACAACTGGAGCTAAGACCGACGCGGAAACGTCGGCGAGAGGACTTGGCCGAGGACAACCCAGACGAGCATGGATATCCTTTCGGAGACGACGTGTGGAGCAAGCCCTACCTCTCGGGATCAACACCACTACTTTGACCTCGACGAGGAGATGGCAGCGCCTCCCGGCGCACCGGGCGCCGAACCGAGCGGCGACAGCAGCAACGGCAACGGACAAGCAGTTCCCTCAGAACCTCCTGTACTACCTGGCCCTGACGGCGCCGAGCAGTATGGCAACAACAGCGACGGCAATGGACAAGCAGTTCCATCAGAACCTCCTGGACTACCTGGCCCTTTTCCTCAGGACGTGGCTGTTCCTAGCACACCGGGGGGTCTTACCGAAGACAGCTCGGAACCAGAGCCTGATCACGAGATGATTCCACCGAGCAGGCGTACCTCAACTACGGCCAGCCAGCCTGCGGCTAGCTCGTTGCAACAGGCTTTGCGTCGCTCTGTCGATGGCCTGGATGGTGTGCCTACTAGGAAGCGACCTCTCTCTCCCAATGGTGCGGCCGCACAGGAACCTGAACCACGACCTCCACCACCTGAAGCTTCCCGTAGCAGTGCTCGTGAAGATGGTGCTTTCCACGCCTTTGCCAGGCGGACCGTGACAAAGAAAAGTGCCACGGCCAGGGCCAAGGAGCTCAACTACAAGAAGGCGACCGGGAAGGAGAAAGAAGGCATGGATGCGGCGCGCAACAAGGAGTGGAGCAACTGGAAAGGGTTCGACGCCGTGGACGTCATCACCCCAGACCGCGTGGAGAACTTCCTGAAGGACCACCCCGAGGTGGATGTGACGCCTATGCGGTGGGTTGACACCAATCAGGCGCAGCCATGGGAGGAGCCTCGTTATACAAGGCCAGGATCGTTGTGAGAGGAGACCTCGAGGAAGGGGCCCATGGTGCTAGAACGGATTCTCCGACGTGCTCGGCTTTGATGCTCAACTTTGCCCTGGCGACCTGTGCCGGGAAAAGGTGGCGACTGCGAGGAGGCGACATCACCGCCTCTTTCCTGCAGGGAGAACCGATGGAACGCTTCTTGATCCTACGCCCTCCTCCGGGTGGTCTCCCTGATGTCCCTGAAGGGTCGTTGCTGGTGGCGAAGAAGCCGGTGTACGGCACGAAAGATGCACCCCGAGGCTTCTGGAGACGACTGCACCGAGTATGCCTGCAGCTTGGACTCGAGGCGACCCCGCTGGAGCATGCATGCTATGTGCTCCGACGCGAGGGCCGCATCGCCGGGATCCTGGTCAGCCATGTCGACGACCTGCTCTGGGGGGGGGCGAAGAGGAGATGCAGGAGATCATGGGCAAGCTTCGCGATGAGTTCCGCTTCGGGACCCTTGACGAGGAGAAGGAGATCGACTACTGTGGGCGAAGAATCGCCCAGGAACCTGAAAAGATCTACGTCAGCTGCCCCAACACGGCAGCCAAGGTCCGAAGCATTGCCCTCAGCAGCGAGCGAAAGAAGCAAAGAGCGGCCGCAGCAACGGAAGTGGAAAAGGGGCAGCTTCGGCGTGTTCTTGGAAGCCTTAATTGGCTTATTGTGCGGGTGTGCCGGGTGGACATTTGTTACCAGGTGCACCGCTTACAGACTGTGATGAAGAATGCCTGCGTCGACGACCTCCTCCAGTGCAACCAGCTCTTGAACTACGTGAAGGCAACGCCCACCAAGGGGATGTACTTTCCTTATGGGGAAGTGGAGCCGGAGAAGGCGACCATCCTATCTGTGACGGACGCCAGCCACGCAGCAGACTGTGACCTCTCTGCCGACGGCCGCAAGCTTGGGTGCCGTTCCCAGTCCGGGCGCCTACTGCTCCTGGTCTCCCCCGACTATGTGGAGAAGGGGACCGGAAGAGTCTACTTACTCGGCTATCACTCGAACGTGGTGCGCCGAGTGTGCCGGTCCACCTTGCAGGCCGAGACGTTGTCCCTCATTGCCGGCTACGAGGAGGCAGAGCACCTGAGAGCAGTGCTGCACTACATGTGCGGCGGAACAGTCGATGGCAAAATGATCGCGGCCATGGACAGCCACGACGTTGTGCTCTTCACCGACTGCAAGTCCCTGGAAGAGCACGCGAAGCAGCCGGGGCTGCACACCGTGAACGACAAGAGGTTGGCTATCGACTTGTGGGGAATCCGCCAGGTGATCTGGCGACAGCGCGGTGAAGAAGTTGGCGACCCCTTTTTTGCGGACCGCCCGCCAGACAAGGGAAGTACCCAGATCCACTGGGTGGATACGAGCACCATGGCGGCAGACGGACAGACGAAGCAAACGAGGAGCCCACAGCTCATCACTTTGATGGGCGAAGCTAAGATGACGGTGAGCTATGTAAAGCTGAGCTCGCCGAAAGCACACCCATAAAGAAAAGTATGGGTGTGAAAACACATGTGCAGACCTCTGTGACATGATGCCGAGGGCTTGTGTCATGAACGCTGGGTGTGCACCCGACTCGCTGGCTCAAGCGACAAAAGGGTGCGTGAGTGGCTCAGATTGCGCGCCAGTGCGGGTTAGCTTCCGCATACATATTGCTAATTATTGCTACCATTGCCATGGCAGTGATACTACCAAGAAAGAGTCCGATAAAGTCAGATTCTGAGCAACCCAGGCTGTCGTAGCTGTCTGTGGTTGTCGGTCCTGCAGTAGAACTAGTCGCAGGCGCTGTTCTGTTTCTGCGACACCCTGAGTACCTGTCACTTTTGGTCTGGCGCTGCCTCAGCTTTGTGGTGCGTTTGCAGGGTCAAGTGCCATGTCCCCCACGAAGGACCAACCAACAACAAGCCAATTCGGGCTCTCGGCACCGTTCCCTAACTGGCTCGTGTCTGACGTCTCGTCTTCCTGTGCATACCGAACAATCAAACACCAGTGTGCCACGTTCACAGCAGTATCCAACCCGCGATCTGTCTAACATGCGACTGTGTTCATTCCCAGCATGTAAACTCATGCCCAAATCTCGGCTAGCTTCACGCAAGTTGTAATTGAAACGAAGATACGCGGGCGTAACGTTGGGTGTATCAAAGATATTCTAGGCTTTCGCCGAGATTCGCGTATGGTTCATGAGTCTGACAGGTGTAGAGACCATCTGCGTGCGGCGCTTCTGAGAAGGTGCACAGGGTGGGTTCTGATCCGGGTGTCTGTCGGACTGAAGGCGGATGAGTCCCTTCTTGCATGTCCAGGTTGCGAGGTTGATGCACCCTTCACAGACAGCAGACCCAGCGGACCCATACTGTATCTCTTCAGACTTCGTCACGTCCTCACGGCCCGGCCAAAGACTTGTCGCAGGGCCCCGAATGATGGTGACTTGCCTCTGGGTTTGTCATTGGTCACGCCGTTGTTTCGGAATCGACGATTTCAGCTGGAGGCCGAGAGAGGGTTGTTGTGCACAAGATCTAGCTGAAAGCATGTGCGTGGTATGTGCATAGTCTGAGACGAGATGTAAAACCACGCTGGCAGATCTGTGAACTCCCTAGCTGGCAATTGCAGATTTTTGTAGACGAACTGCCACACTCGCAAGTGTGGATACTTGCCGCACAAATTCCAGCAAGCCCTGATGAGTTGCTCTGGCACCGAGGTTGTTTCACACATCCAGAACCTACCATGGAATGTTTTCTGACGCCTTGGGGACCACGGCTGATATCCATGGTTCTGCCTTCCCGAAATTCTGCAAGCGGCAATGTTGCATGAGGACATGCTTTTGACGCACCCAAGAAACACTTCACATTGGCACATAAGAGTGTCGTGTCGGAGCTCTGGACATCTTCCGTGGTTAGTGGCAACAAGTTTCTATGGAAACAACTCTCGTGGTCCCCATTGCGTTGTCTGAGCCTTTTGGCAGTGTAAATTTCCGCTTCGTGCATAATTGGAGCGAGCTTCCGCAGAGGATGTGGCGTCCCGATCTTTGCGAACCAGCTAATTACTCGAGCTTTGAGACTGGATGGTTTGGCTTCATCTTCATTCATTTTAACTGCCTGACGAGCACGCTACATGATTCGGCACCTCGGCAGGCAGGACATCTGGCTCCTATGTTGACCCAAGCACAGGAAATCCAGATCTGTGGGTCTCGCACGCAGATCCATGCTTTCTGCGGGCCTGGTTTTTGTAGTGTACTTTGGGTGGAGAATGCTAGTGGTAGTTTCTGATTGGCCCCAGGCGAGCACGACCGTAGCAGGGAGTAGTTTTGTGAGCGTCTTCGTAGTAGAAGCAACTAGAAGATACATGCCTGCACCCGGCTCCACATCCCAGCCTCTAAACACTTTCATGCAACAGGACTGTGCTATTGTTGCGTCATGTTAGGTAGGTCAGCCGCGAACCACCTGCAGTCTTCATACATGAAAGTAGTGCATTCGACAAACAGGCTTTGCATGGCAGCAAAAGCGCAGCATCTTTGTCCACTTAGTACGTTCGATGTCGCACTCCGGCAGACAAAGGCTTCTTTCGGATTCAGGGCTCGATGCTGTAAACTCCAGGCGTGCGAAGAAGCCTTCGCCGTAATTCGTTCATGCTCGAAGTAGCTCCGTCCGCTTCCCAGCCGAAAAAGATCAGGACGTGTCGGAACTATGAATGAAGCTGTCCGCACTGAGCAAGTCTCTGTTCGTTGCAGTCCATTGTAGCATGTGTTGCGACGAAGCATAGCCTTGTATTGCGTTGGGGCACGACAGACCTTACTTGTGCAAGCTATGCCAAGTCCCATGTAATTTCACTTCACGGAGGCTCCAAGCTTCGATCTGGATTGCCTGGTGCTGCTCTTCGCCCTCTTGAGATGGCTCTATGCAAACCGCAAATAACTCGGACAACATGCTGCCAAGTATTCGGCTAGGAAGTATGAAGCTTTGGCAGCTCGAGAGCCTCGCAGGTCTTGCTCCAAGAAACGAAGGTCTTTGGCTCCACTTCAAGCTTTGAGCACAGTAAGTTGTGCTGCAGCACAATAGATCACAAGAGCCGACCCTGGTGTAGCATCGTGCACACAGAGGCACGAGCATTGAGTCTTTTCTTCTTTGCTGTGTTCCGAGCATCGCGTCACTTTGGCCGGGGTTTCATTGCTCAGGCCCTCCCCGAGGGCGTATGAAGAGACAGCAGCTTGTGATGCAAAGCAGATGGCATCATTACTGAGATTCTTTATTGCCAGGTCCATGACACGACGTTTTTACGGAGATCATGCCAGTATCACCGTTGGAGTGCGCAGTCTCATGCCTCATGTGCTGTGCTCCAAGGAGCGGCTCTTGGGACGCCGGTGTGCTGCTCAGAGGGCTCTCTCTCTCTCTCTCCCTCTCTCTCTCTCTCTCTCTCTCTCTCTCTCTCTCTCTCTCTCTCTCTCTCTCTCTCTCTCTCTCTCTCTCTCTCTCTCTCTCTCTCTCTCTCTCTCTCTCTGCAAGTTTAGCCTGCCACAGCGCAGGTACTCACCGTGGCGCGAAACGCTTTGCACCGAACCGTGCGAAGAACTCAGAACTCAGCAAGCAGGAGCATTGCAGTGACAGTGCTCTCCCGAGCTCTCGTCATGCACGAGATCAGGTTGTCATGCCCTGTGTGCTGAAGTTTCTCACGCCCGAGGCAGGTGGGTTTTCTTTTTTGAAGGAAGCCACACGCTTCAAGTGTCTCGGTGTCATAGGAACGGGCACATGCGAGTGGAACGAAGGGACGCATGCCACACCGCCGAATTCACCGACGGAAGTTTCCGCAGCAGACGCAAGGGCGATGACGGGACAGCATAAGCTGAGAAAATGAATTTGTCAGAGGACTCTTGAGACGCTTCATTCTAGCGTTGTATGATATATGATATATGTGCTGTCGTAAAGTCTATCCTCCCTTGGTGCGCAGCTTGTAGGAGACTCGTGTGACAGGTTTCAATCCTCTTCGCTGCATGTCATCTCTTTGCATCACACAAGACTGCCGATTCCGTATGGACAGGTACTGGCTTCTGCCATTATTGGCAAAGGCGGTGCTGCCATTGCTGCTTAGATGAAAACTTCTTGCGCTGCCATAGCAATGAACTGTGGCCACTTCTCCGACAGCTTGAGTCCAGCGGTGCCTTTCGATTGTAACTCGAGCTTCAGGCTCAAATGCGGGAGAGGCCACCCATTCTTTTGTGCCTTTTGTAATTCTGGCATGTCCGCAATCATCGCCAAAGCAGGACACAAGCCAAGATGAGTCTCACTGAGCACAACGAGCTCTTTCCAGGCAACGCGTCCCCAGCTGCTGTGCTCGTCACAATTTCTGGCAAGTGGCCGATGCCAAGGAACCGATAGCCGTATTTTGACAGCTTCTGCGTCGGAAAGCTCTCAGTTGGTGGAGCTTTCGAGACTCATCATCGATAAGGTCGGCTCTCCTTTCTGAAGGTTTGCTTCGCTTGCAGCAGGGTTTTGTGGCTGGTGGCAATGGTTTGGAGGTCATCGAGGCTGCTGGCGACGCTCAGGGGGACTTAAGACTTAGCGTCTTGGTTGGGGCCACGGTGCCTCCAACGTTCGAGTGACGACTGGGACGACTGAGCCGTCATTCGTGTTGAGGTCCCCAAAGCAGCCGTGGGTGGTCTGATCGGCAAAGGAGGCAATCTCAGTGGCTGCACTTAGATGCAAGGCGAGAGCTTCTTGTCTGGGCGTGAGGCGCCAATATCAAGCAGCTGCGGGAAACCAGCGCTGCAAAGATCTCCATCGCAGAGGCTGCTGGGCAAGGTCCGGCGGCTGAGCAGGCTTGGAATCCTCCCCATCCTCGACCTTTCAAACGATGTTATGTTGACTGCCTTTGCGCAGGTTGTGTCGATGGCTGGCACTCGTGTGGCTCTTGAGCAGCTCGGCCGCAAGGAATTTAAGGGATTTCCCTTCGTCCCAAGACCATGCTTTCCGCTCAGGATGATCATGGAAGAGATCAACAAGCAGGCATTGGGATTCTGTGATGATGCATGTGGGTCTAGATCGTGCATGCACGGTTTGCCATGCCTGTCACCAACTCTCCACTTGTCAAACGGAGGGAGATTTCGAATGACGCGGCAGATTGCTAGTCCAGTCTGCAACAGTCAGATGTTGTCTCCCGCAGTACCGATGTGCCGACTCTTTTGCCATAGTGCATGCCACTCATTGTCAACCAAGCATTTCGTTTGCTTTCTTCTGACGTGCGACTGGCTATTCTCCAAACAAAGAGAGAACTTCTGTGCGTGCGAGTCTCGCGCGGAAGTGGGTGATTAGTCCGCTGGAAGGGAGGGAGGAGGCAGGAAGACCCGAAGGACGCAGGGAGGGAAGGAAGCAAGGTAGGAAGATGAAGAAGTCCAGAGGTTTCATTCTGGGGACCCTTTCGTGCACGACTGGCTGGATAGGTCTGCTGTCCAATCAAGTCACCCGAAGACTGCATCATAATAGGTTCGTAAACGATCTGTCCGTAGGGCAGCTCTGCAAACAGCTCTGAGACGCTAGGCCGAGGAGCCAAACCCAGCTGAGCGCATGTCATGTAAGTTCTGATTTTCTCGCGTGGGAGGAAGCTGATTAGATGAGAGTCTTGTCCATTTCGCATTGCTTACATGTCGTTTATGGTAACAGCGGTGCTTCCGTGCCTCGCTATGTCGTATCATGCACCAGCATCCACCAGCGAGAAATGGAAGGAGGGAGGGAGGGAAGCACATAGGCAGGTAGGTTGGCATGTGAGTAGGTGCGGGTGGACATGTATAATCGCAGGCACTGTTGGCACTGTAGGCATGTTTCTTCCCGCTGGTTTGTTGTTTCTGGGTGTCCTGAGTCCTGAGTAGTAAAGTCAAAGTGTCCAGGTCCAGGCGCTGCAAGAAGAGAACTGGCCTGCTCCTAAGCAGAGCACTGGATAGGACCCGGAGTTGCGAAAGCGTACGCGCACTTTGTTCGAGACGTCCTGGGCCTGTGTTTCTCTGCAAAAACCCTTTGCAAGCTTCATTTCATCTCAAGCGTCTCTGACGCTGATGGGTCGGTAGAGACTCGATGTAGTGATGCCCAAGAGTTAGCCAGAAACATCTCTGATGCGAATACCATCGGCAACACGTCGAGGTTCGGAAGTAGTGCAGAGAGTCAAGACAAGACATGAGTAATTAACGTAGAACAGATGTTCCCATACACAATTGTGGCCTCCCAGCATTGGTGCTGCATGTGCTGCATTGCGTTCGGCCCATGGGCACTTGTGCGTCTACAGACGGTGAGCCCGGGCTTCAGAGCAAAGGCCTTCGGCTTCAGCTTCCCGCAGAAGAGTCTGGAGTCCGAACATTGTAGCGGACCGTGTCAGGCGCCTCCTTCATCTCCAATACGAGTGATGTCATTGACAGGCTGGAGGCGAGTCTGAGTGTGAAGCATTCTTCGTGAGTCGCAGATATCTTGGACTGTGGAATGCCGTTGTGTAAGATCTGTTTGACAGCGGCTTACTTTGGAGGCGGCCGACGGACAGGACAACCTCGTGGTGGTTGCCAGCCGTAATGTTAACACGGAGGCCCGTTCCAATGTGTGCGATGCAAAATCCGACGGAATCTTGGGCATTGGACACAATGCAGGTCATCCGATCACAACGCGTAGAGGCACGGCCTTTGGGAAGAGGAGTCTACAGATGTGCATTGGGCTTGCGCGACCTTTCCTGCTGAGTTGTGTGCTGACAGGCTGCCGTTGCCTCTCGTGGTGTTAATCAGTTTGCACGGAGCCGTGGTAAGCAGATAGCTTTTTCAGCACACCATGCCACCGATCTGTGTGGTACCGTCTCCCGGTTCCTGTTTTTCTTGATGGCATCCTTGTCACTGTGCTTGACCAGTCCTGTAAGGAGCCAAACTCGCACCGCCTTGCAAGACGAAGCAGTTAGCTCAACTATGAGAAGTGCCCGGACCCAACGTCAGCAGTAAGTCATTTTCCGTTGCTTTTGCCATGATTATGCTGGTTGTCATCATATTGCTCGGTTTTTGTTGTAATGACTTTACTCAGTCTTCACATCACAGCACTTGTCGTCGGCCTCCGGTGCTAGTTCTCTTGCTACTGCTCCTGCCACTGCATCTACAGGTACTACTACTGCTTGGTGCTGGTACTGCCAGTGCTACTGCTTGTACTGCTGCTACTGCTGCTCCTGCCCAACTGCCACTGCCACTGGCACTCCCACTCCCACAACCATTGCCACTGACACTACCACTGCGACTACTACCAAAGCCACCACCACGACGACGTGGCGATTACTAACTACTGCTATTACTACAACTCCTGCTCCTACCACCTATTACTACTACTACTACTACTACTACTACTACTACTACTACTACTACTGCTGCTACGACGACGACTACTACTACTGCCACTACGACTGCTGCTACTGCTATTGTATCGCTGCTCCTGCTGCTGCCACGACATACCACTACTATTGTGTACTACATTAATACATGCGAGTTGAGTCCTTCTAGAAATTGCAGTTTCTAGTACTGATAGTAAACAAGTTGGGAAAGGATTTGGTCTGGCCACCTGAGGTAGCTTTCAGAAGATGGCGACATCTTTGCGCTTGTCCCGCATGGGGACCATGAAACGAGAGCAGATGATCAAGGAAGTGACGGCTGCAGCCCCTCAACAAGGCAGATTAAGGGTTTCACGCTTAGTTTCATGTCCGGGAACCAGAAAGACTTTCTGGTCATTGTCGATGACTCTCTCTGCGGTGCCATGCAGTGTGCAGGGCAGTGACCCTCACCTTCGCCCTCGCACTTGCCTTCACCCTCACTCTCAGCTTGACTCCTATCTCTTACACGAAACCCTCACTCTCACAGCCTCTCTCACCCTCGTCCTCACTCTCACTTCATTGATTGGCAGGTTTGACAGGTGCGAGCTTGGAGACCCGGCTTGCAACCTTTGGTATGCGCCTTGGCGAATTGCGATGGACGGCGAAACGTTGCATCTTCTATTCTTGGGACGGCACCCCCTTCTTAGAGCAGCTTCTTTGATCTACTACCAAGTATTACAGTATTGGCATCGTGCCAACATGACATGGCGGCTGCCTCGGACAGCGGGTCTGCGACACGAAGTGTCTATGACTCTGTGGCGACGACAATCCTGTGCAAATGCAGTTGGCACAAGTAGGAGTGAGTACTGGTAGTTGAATATCTCCTGCGTATCTTCTTATGATTTCTTATGCTTGATGACACCCTCGGCCACCTAACATCATGCTGGCTTGAGCTACCCTGTCGACTATTGTAGCAGATCGTAGCTGTCAGGATTAGCATGTCACGCAGCTCCTGCGACTGAAAGGAGCCGGGTCAAAAGTAGCTACGGTGAATGTATGCTTCGTTGTACCTGTGATAACGAGGCAGATGCTGGAGATGGAGGGTGATGGCAATTGCCAGTGACCTGCGTGCAATCCAGCTCTATTGTCCCGGAACGGTGCATTGCGAATGCGTAAGATTTTGTGGATGTCTCAGGTTTCGCTCCATGGCCTTTAATTTGTTTGGAAAGCAGGCCAGGCGGCCAGTCATGAGCCGATGTGAGTGCCGAAGAGTTCCCGCCTGAAGGACTACCACGCCTCGCCTCGGCAGGCTGCGGTGAAGCACATGAAGCCTCTGGGTGGCAGGAAGGGATCGACGCAGCATGAGAAGAGTCTTCTTAATGGCGTCTTGGCCGTGCGATCATGCAACTGAGAAAGCACTCGGACTTCTTTGGCGTCTTTTTCGAGACTGGGGTCCCTCGGAGTGCAAACTGCAGAGCTTCTTCCAGGGTGGCCACGGTTCCAGTCTGGACCATGTGCAATGAACCTAACCTTTGATGAAGCTGTGGCAGTTCGTACACGGTTCGGTTCGTTCCTTATTGACTTTAATGATGATAAGCCCGAAGCCTAAACCCCAAACCCCGATGCCTTGCTCGCCTCAACCAGCCTAGCATGGGTACGTGGCTGCTGGGCTTCTAGGGCTGCTGCGAGTGCTGGGCTGCTGGGCTACCAGAACTGGTCTGCTCGGGCTGCTCGGGCTGCTGGGCTGCCAGCCTCTGGGGCCGCTGGCTGGGTTGGACTGGCCTGGCGTGGTTTGTGTGGCTGGACCTGGGTAGCTGGCTGGGCTGTGTTGGCTCTGGCAGGAAGTTGATCAGCTCTTACAATTGTGGGCATACGAGCTGGTCCCTTTCCTCCACGCGAAACCGCGAGTGTTAAAAGCCCATTTCTTGTGGGCTCTTGTCATTAATGCGTCAACCAGCCTAAACTGACGTTTTCGGTGCCGGCCCTCTTTGGTGGTGAGGTAACCCGAACCGTACAAGTTTTGATGGCCGCAACGATTGCGACTTTCTTGCTTGGATGCGTCAAAGGCATCATGTAGGGGTTTTGCAACAGGGCACTTTGGAACTGTCGGCCACACATTTTCTTCCGGTTCGCAGGCGGGCCGGTATACTCTTGCACGGTTCAATTCTCGCGATTCCGGTTCCCGAATCGAGGTTCGGTTCCGGGGCTTTCTTGCTTCTCATGTCCGAGAAATATCGAGGCCGAGTTTTCGCGATACTTGCAGAACATGGCCCGCAACGGGACATGGGGCGACGAGCTCACGCTTCGAGCCGTTGTGGAAGCCTACGGCTGCGTAGCTCACGCCCTTTGGCGCAAGTGGTGGGCGATGCCGATGCTCTCGTGGAGGAGTTTTCTGTGGCGCAGTCTTGTGAATTAGCTCACCCTGCCAAGGTCGTCACTTCTGAGCCGACAAATTGGTGACTGATCAGCAAGCACGCGGATCTTCATGCAGTTCGCTTGTTCCGTTGTCTTGTGGTCTCACATTGTTGCCATCGTTGGCCTGGAGTAGCCTCTGCACCAGTATGTTCAGATCTCGCATCTCGCTTCTGCACCGATTCCGTTAGTTTGCATCTACTTAGAGTCTTGCACATGTCCCGCCTAAGCTTAGGCATTTGGTCTACGAGCCCGAAGGTTTGGATCCTCCAGATCTAAACATTGCCATTTGCCCGAAGGGCGTGGGAATGCCGAAAAGCAGGACAACATCTTAACTGTCCACGATGCGTGCCATGCGCCCAGCCATGCACCGGATATGAATGGCACTTATTGGCACTTGAGAACAATGCAGCCTGGAGGAAGCGAATTTTCTTGTCATATATCTCGCGCCTTGGAATTTTTACTTGGGGCAGGAGCTTTCATGGACTCTTCTTTTTGAGAGCTGAGGCCCATCCACTACAACGCCATCATCTCACGTGCTTTGTTTACATACGGAGAAAGTGCGCAGAAGTAGATGTTGTAGCGCCGTGCGACGTGTGGCGTCGCTTCAAGCCGAGGTCCTGGGTCTTGATGCTGAACTTCCTCAGTCGATGTGTTCGTGCATGACGAGTCACTACGCAAACACGACCGGAGCTTCCGCTAGTTGGTAACTGAAGTTACCGCTTGTATCGGATTGTACAGAGCTGGGATGGAAGCAGCATCAGTTGCCAGGGTGTTCTTTGAAGACTCCGGTCCCAAAGGCACCTTGCATTCTTTCGTTGGATCCCTTGTCAGTTGCAGAAGCCGGCTGTGGGCCAAAGAGATGCATTGCTCCCGCAAGCTGCACAGCAGTCTGTGTTGTTCTGAGCTCTCTTGCCTTGCTTGAAGACAGAGATTGCTGAGGTTCCAGGACTGGGCCAACGCCAAAACGGTCGGCCCAGCAGCGCTGGCGAAAAGCTGCGGACCGAGAAAGTCCATCCTTGCCCTCCGGCAGGTTGAGGTCCCCAGATATGGTCTCTGACCGGTTGTTGTTGAAGTGAAGATCTCTGGGAGAAACCCTGAGCTCTCAAGCTCTCGAAGGTTCCATGGCTGCCATGGCCCTGGCAAACTCAGCAGTGCACTGAAACCTGAACCCACGATCTCGAATGCCAATAAATCCTCGAGCTTTGACCCTGAACCCCAAACTTCAGAGAGTAAAGACCCTCTTTTCTGTTGTTCCCCGGCAAAGGTCTCGGTGCACAAGGCGTCGGCCGACTAAATCATGGCGTCGAGCTCTTAAGCCGGATATCGGAGGCGGCCGGGGAACCCCAAAACTTCGCTGAAATGAAACGGTGCACGGGAATAAATAGATAAGCAGATAACGCACACCTCACATCAACAAGAACCCATCCATGCAGAGAGCAAAAGTGTCATTCCACTCGCACGCCATAGTGCCGGTGCAAACGGTACAAATGCAAACATCAGCTCCTAACAATTTTCAGAGGCTAGTTCACGATGTCAAAGGGCACACAAAGACATACATACATACGTACATATGTACATACATACATGTAATTGTACATATACTTATATCTATATCTACATTTCTATTTTTCATTTACACTTATTTTTATAGTTATATGTACATGTGTAGTAACAGTTATATACAAAATTATACATATATATATATACACGTAACGATATACATATATATATATATATGTATACATATTTATATTCATATTTTTAAACATCCGTAAATACATGTAAATGAATGTACATAAATGTAAATGAGTGTAAATGAATGTAAATGAATGTAAATGAATGTAAACGAATGTCAAAATGCAAACAAATGTAAATAAATGAATGTAAGTAAATGCAAATAAATACAAATAAACATATATATATATATAATATGTGGATATCTGTATGTATATAGTTATATTTGTATTTATATTTATGCATACTTTTTTACACACATACAGAAATACACTACCCCTCCAATATCAACCTTTCAAAAGTAATTCCCTAAATTCCATAAATTATCTGAATTCCTTAAACTCCCTAATTTCCTTAAACTCTTTAAATTCCCTAGTCAGTGCCTCCATGCATTGAATTTACAGAGCGCGTGAAATTCCTGAATTCCACAAATTCTCTAAATTCCCTACGGTTCGTAAATTCCTGAAGTTCCCTAATCCTGATATCACGCGTCAAATCATCGCTGTGGCTGCTGCTGTCAAGCAAGTGCAGGAAGTTGTCAAGCTTGAGAGATTCAGAACCTGGCGGACCAAGATGCGTGGTTTTTAGAGTTCGTGTTTCCGTTGGCTGCGTGGCCTTGCTGGCCTTCTTGCTCACTTGTTTTACCTTGTTGAAGAGAAATGCTAGCGAGCGCCGCTCACAGGTGTTTCAAGTCCTTGAGCGTTTCTGGAACACTGTGTGGCAGCGTCAGCTTCCTGACCGGGAGCAACAGACTCGTAGCGGCCTCGACGTGCTTGGGCCGGCGCGTCCACCTGGCATTTGTTGCTGCGCTCAAGGATGCTGAGCTCCTAGTTGCGGCCAGGGGTCAGCGAAGTACTGCGGCCGGGCCTGATGCCTGGTCAGGAAGCGAGGAGATCTCCTGTCTGCCACTTGCTGTTGGGACTAGCCTCGCTGGTTTCTTCACGGCTTGTGAAACTCTTGGCATGACACCCATTGGCTGGAAAGACAGGTGATTGTGCTGTCCATACTAGTCATATGCGTCCTATCTGCATTTCTTAGCTGCTGGTGGCGTGTCTGGGCTTCGGCCAGGCTGAAGCGCCAGGATGCCTTTCTCTGGACTTCTTCGTGGTGTAGAAAAGGCTCTAGCACCTACCCTGCCATCGGTGCTGTTGTCACTGTGTGGGAAAACAATGGATAGATGGGCTCCTTTGATTACATTCAGCCCCTCCTCGTCAACCGACTATGGGAGCATCTTGGAATGCCTCCTGGCGTTAACAGCATGATTATGAGCATCTGGACTCACCAACGACGATGTCTCCAGCCAACCATGCCGTCACTCCTGAACCTGTTTGTATCGACAGCAGCGTGCCGCAAGGCGACCCTTGGAGCATGCTTGCGATGTCGACGGACGGCGCTCATGGCACCGCTTCTGAACTTGCAGTCCAGATTTGTCACCGCTTGTTTGCTCTTTGCGTCGATGACCGATCGTTGTCTGGAGTGATATCCTGGGTTTTTCGGAGAACCTTGGAAAGGACCGCACGGTTGCTGGCCGCAGGCAGCTGAGAGAGCGGGCTGTCCTGCTGACAAAGCCCTCAGAGTTTCCAAAGATACTGGGTTGCATGCTCAGGTTGTGGAAACTTTTGTTGGGACACAACACTTCGCTCCTCTTCCGAACTGCGGCGACTCAGGTCGCCGCCTGCTTTGACCGAGCCGCTGAGGGCTTGCCGCTGAGACCCGTGCAAAAAACCTCCTATGTGTGTCGTGCGGGAGGGACCGGTGCAAAACCTCCTATGTGTGGCGTGCTGGCCTTGCCGAACTGTCGGTCTTGGAGTTCATGCTGCTCACCCCCGACAAAAGACGAGAAGGAACCCGTGCGCAAGCCGCCTATGTGTGTCGCGCGGGCGGGACCGGTGCAACAACCTCCCTTTTGTGTCGTGCTGGCCTTGCTCAACTATCGGTCTTGGAATTCATGCTGCTCACCCCCGACAAAAAACGGGTAGGGACCCGTGCAAAAAGCCTTCTATGTGTGTCGTGCGGGCGGGACCGGTGCAACAAACCTCCTATGCGTGTCGTGCTGGCCTTCCCGAACTATTGGTCTTGGAATTCATGCTGCTCACCCCCGACAAACAACGAGTAGAGACCCGCTCAAAAAACCTCCTATGTGTGTTGCGCCAGGACGAAATAATATACTAATATACTAATCTACGAATGTACGAATATACGAATATACTAGTACATACGAATATACGAATATAAGCCTGTGCGAATATACCAATACACTAAAATATTAATATACAGAACACTAATATACTAATATGCTAATATACGAAAATACTATTACGCTAGTATGCCGATGTACCAATATACCTATATACTGATATATTAACATATCGATATACTAATATGCTAATACAATGCTAATGTACTAATGTACCAATAGACGAATTTGCTAATTTACTCATATACGAATTTTCCCATATACTAATTTACTAATATACGAACATACTAACATACGATTATATTGATATGGCAACATACTAAGATGCTATAATAATATACTAATGTGCTACTGTACTAATGTACTAATATACGGATATACGAATATGTTTATATACGAGTATACGAATATCTTTAGACACAATATACTAATATACCAATATGCCAGTGTACGAACATATTGACATGTTCATAGGCTAACATACTTATTATGTTAATATACCAATACACTAAACATGCACGTATGAATATCGATAGAAAAACCCCAAACTAAGTTTAAGGCCAAGTCCCAGATTAATACGAATACGCTTATTAAAACGAAAACTAACCTTGCTATTATTGCAGATATTTTATAAACATCCAGTAAAACTAGAACACTAATAGTAACCTTAATATAACAACTACCCTTGGCGTTGACATTGACACCAACATTAACACCAACTGTTCATAATAATAGCAGTACTAAGATCAAAATTAAGAACAAGACCAAGCCAAGACCAATATCAACACTATTATGAAGATAACTAGTAAAGTATGTTCTGTGTGCACCTGCCCAAGAAGTTGTTTTGCATGCAGCAGTACGGGCTTTGGGATTCACGCGCAACAGGCAAGAAGAGATATGTCATAAAACACAACATCATGGCACGATATATAAAGACATAAAAACTGGACCTTGTTTTCTACCAGTCCGACCAAACGCCCCGAGATTGTCAATAGTGTCCATGAACACGAAATGTATCGCTATTTGCGTGGTTTTCGGTTTCAATCCGTATCTACACAAAAACACACACACACACAGAACAATCACATGGTCCCGGGGGGTTGCCACATAAATATATATGGGTTATATAAATATCGATAATCTCTGTGCATGTACTTATGCACATATATTCATACATTTCCTTATGCACCCTTACTGACGACTACAACTGGATGCGTGTATACATACCGAATACATCTCAATGTACATGTATGTGCATGGGTGTATGTGCATGTAGATGTAATCATATGTATACATGTATGTGTGTATGTATATGTACATGCATACATGTATAAGTATGTGTGTATTTGTATGTGTATGTATATGTGTATGTACTTGAATCTGTGCTGTCCTGCTAGATTACACTATATAACCTTCTGAAGCATGCAGTTTCATCTTGGATGTTCATGCATGCTATACTCATTGTATGATTCTGTGTAATATTACGTTGGTACATGACCTGTATCACATGGTATGCCACATCATCTCTGAATATGTCTTACCATATCTAGCAGTCTACATGTTGTTATGTCATGCAATGATATACCGTGCTACATTACATGGTAGTACCAGTACCTTCTGTTAATGATATCGCGTTTCGTTTTTAATGTTAAGAGTTATTGCTAGTTTGGTATACCATGCACTGCAATGCCATTTAT